TGGTCTGAGCCCCTCCCTTTTTAAAAGTTCAAGAAGCTCCGCCTTCTCAAGCTCTGCCCTCTCTAGCTCTTGTCTGCGAGCTCTCTCTGCACCCAGTAAAATGCGGACATCTGACATGACGCGGGACAGCTGGCCCTTTGCACAAACACACACCTGTCAGTGACTTACTGCACACAAAAAGTCTGTTGATGTGAAAAGTATCGTACCTTAAGTTCATCCACTTCATTCCTCAGCAAATTCTCCTTCTGCACCATGTGTCGTCTTTGGGAATCCAAGCGAGATTCCATTTCATGCCTCACCTCTTCGACTTTGCAGTCTAATTCTGCCCTATAATAAAAACACACACATTTCTAACCATACAGCATTTACATGGTCACAATTTTTAGGATTTCAGCAGAATGTTTCTACCTGAGCATGTCCAGCTCAGCTCGTAGTTCTGATACACAGTTGTGTTGGGCCTCCTCATTATTTAGGATTGTGTATCCACAGCCGCTTGCGCAAACTCTACTGCTGTATTCACACACACACAGATGAGCTTCCAGAGAACGCCGTGACACCTGGACTGGGCAGCCTGAACGATTGCAGAGAAACATTAAACTAAACAAACAAAGAAGAAAACCTGGCCCACGGCAAATGTTCATGCACGGAGAAAAATAGTAAAAGCATCTAACCAGCAGGGCTGCTCAATAAGGATGGCCCTAGTTAAAATGATCTAGCTGGATGACAAATGAGGATTTGTCAAAATTACAAAAATGACTTGATAGTATTGCTAGCATCTGTAAGAATTGGTTGAAAACTACAAAACAATGCTTTTCCATGCATGCCAACATTTTCCAGCAGTGTTTATGAATTTATGACTGCCTTTGTGTGTTTTGTTTAATTATACTCTATGACCAGCTGTTATTGCTACTTGTCTTTGTGAAGGAAATGTAACATTTGATAAAAAATGAAATGTATAGTAATATTTTTTAAATATTAAATCAATTTAAAAAATACATTTAAAATGATAAATCTAAATATTATTTTATCTAAATGATAAATTCATAACAATTTTAAATATACACTACTGTTCAAAAGTTGGGGGTCTGTAAGATTTTTTGAATGTTTTTGAAAGAAGTCTCTTACGATCACCAAAGCTTCATTTATTTAATCAAAAATACAGCACAAACAGTAATATTGTGAAACTTTATATAATGGTTTCCTTTTTAATGTATTTAAAAAATGTATTCCTGTTATGACACCAATGGGATCATCCTAATATGCTGATTTGGTGCCCAAGAAACATTTAGTATTATTATCAATGTTGAAAACAGCTATGCTACTTAATATTAATGTAGAAACATTTTTTTTAGGGTTCTCCGATGAATAGACAGTTCAAAAGAACAGCATTTCTCTGAAACTGAAATATTTTGTTACATTATACATGCTCTTACTTTTGGTCAATTTGATGCATCTTTGATGAATAAAAAAATCCAACCCGAAATCACAGGGTTTTTTTTTTTTTTTTTTTTAATTTTACTATTCTCAAACTTTTGAATGGTAATATATGCTCGTTTGGAGTTTGCAGCAAGTGTTTATAAATGTATGTCTGTCTTTGAGTTTTCCGTATAAAATATGAAATAATAAAATGATTTGTTTCAAATGATAATTCTGAATACAAAATTACAAATTAATACAATTTTGAAATGTATAAAGTGGAAAAAATCTTGTTAAAGAAAAAGACACACAGAGTTTGGAAAACACACATAAAACACAGAACACCTACCACAACGGTAACACAAGTACTCGTCACCTGCATATTTAAATACATACACACAAACAAATATTTCCAAGATTAGAGAATGCTGCACTAGGTTTACTGAAACTAATACATCTATTATGTGCAAGAATCTGCCATTGTTAGCTCATTAACTGAACAGATCAATTGTATTAATTTAACCCTGAGATAAAAGTTTCACCTCACTGGCTGCCTGAGGGGGTCCCTCGTTAATAATTAAAAACATGATTACCCAGCAGTAGGCACTCTATCTTGAGGGTACAATACTCATTCATTTGCTGTTACAACTGTGCTTTATATTGTACTGAATGTATAAATTAAGCAGTAGTCATCTTTCCCCATCCAAAAAATGTGGGTACGGATACAAAGATTTAGTAAGTTACATATATAGAGTGTATATATATATATATATACTGTATATATGTGCTTGTTTATGTGTACCTGCATTACTGCAGTTCAGCAAAGCGTAATCACACTGTTGCTCATGCTGATGAATAGACTCCAGAGCACATATGACCTCACAACCTTGTGGCCGGAACACACACCTAAGCTGCAGCCTTGCTAAATCATTCCTCATGTATCTGTAACACACAATCCACATGTATGTCATTTGAATAGGTGAGATGAATGAATAATTAAAATTAATTTAATTTACATTAGTTATCTGAAGTGATTCTGTGCAAATACAGGTGCTCAATTACATCTGTGGTACCTGAATAGTGGGCGTAGATGTGTGATGTCTAAAGGCAAGCGGTCCTCAGGACAGCTGTTATGGTGGATGAGCCATCCATGAATGCAGGTGCTGCAGAAGGCATGTTCACATGGAGCCTGCAGAGGATCTTCTAACACATCCCGACATACACAGCACAGCAGACCCTCGTTTACATAGCCTACAAAGCGTTCCAAATCGTAGCCCATCCTAGAGGACACACACACACACCCCGCAAAATACTTATAATAACTAAAAAGATACCTGATGGTTAAGACGTTATATTGATATACTGTAATGGGGAAAAATATCCCGGCAACCAAAATCATCCCCTGATGGAAGTTACAACTTTCTACTTAAGGACCATGACAGAAATGTACGATATGAGTAAAAAGTACGATATTTGTCTTTCAAATGTAGTGTAATTAAAGTAAAAAGTTTACAGAAAAAATAATTCTAAAAAAGTAAAGTACAGATACTCAAAAAGTGTACTTAAGTAGGCTACAGGACTCAAGTAAATGTACTTTGTTACGGTCCACCTCTGCAAAAATGTAAGAAAACATTTTATTGTACTTTAAAATAAATAGATATTTGCTAAATGTGGTAAATCTTTGCACACTGAAAGTTAACAATATTTATTAAAATTTCAATTAAAATTATGTAGATGACGTTTACATTTTTAAGGCAAAACATACAGGATATTAATACAAGCTTAAAAGAATAACAAATGAAAATCTTATTATATATATATATATATATATATATATATACACACACACACACACACACACACATATATATATATATATATATATATATATATATATATAAAACATTACCTGACAGAGTGTGTGGTATCTTCTATCCCCCTCTCTCCTTCTCTCAGGTGTGGTTGTTGAAGGTGGTCTGGTCAGTTGTCGTAGAAACAGCCAGGTGGCAGCTGTTGGACTGAAACATGAGTGGGTGAGGTTACAACTGTAGAAATTCATTGCGGATCTGAGGTCAGTGTGACATCTTCATTTGTGCTAAATACTAGGAAATAGACCCTTTAATGAGCATAAAATTGTGTGGAATGCAATTTATGAGGCACCTTTGCTAAGCAACTCTCACCTGCACCACAGACCATCTAATGTGCAAGAACACAACAACACACCAGTCAGATCCCTTAGGGAAACCCTCTGGGAAACTCTTGTTCATGCTGTGATCAAATGAGACTGAAGCACCTGGCAACCTCACACACAAATACACAGAGAGAGGCACAACGGGACCACATAAAAAAAAAAAATACTTGATTACACAAATATCCTACACATCCAATGGAAAATTTCTAGAATTACGGTCATCCTGTACACATTCCTCAAAAACATCTTAAAACTAAAAGGTGACGACCTGTGCAAGTGTTCCTGCACCTGTCTGGCCACGTGAGGGATCACATCCATGGTGTCAGCTTGTGGCTTGAGCATTTAACGCTAAATGATTGCTTTCGTAAAATGTGGAGCGTCATTTAAATTCATAATCCATTACAGATTCACAGTTGAGGTAATATAATCATGAATTCTTTTATGAAGAAGAGGATGTCTGTGCTGCTGTGTTTTTGTCTGGGCACTCTCACTCTGTTCTTCATGGCTGCTGGGATTACACCGGATTACGCTTTCCCACAATCTGATTGGATTATTTTCTACATGGCTACATTGTAGCCTCACACACTATAAAACATTGGCACAACACAAGCAGATGTGCACATGCATCAGTTAAAACAGTTGAAATAAAAAATGAAATAAAATCAGTCAAGCAACATATATAAATTACTAAATTACTAAAGTCAATGTTCCTTTACATTTTGGCATAACTTTTCCATGATTTCTCCATTACTTTTCCAGTCATTCATAACTTCAAATGTTTTTATTTTTATACTTCATATCAATTGTACTCGCAAAGAACAACAACTAAATAAATATTCTAAAACTGAGCATAAATATATAGATAGATAGATAGATAGATAGATAGATAGATAGATAGATAGATAGATAGATAGATAGATAGATAGATAGATAGATCTTCGTCAACAACCAATCTCTACAGTTAATATGAATCTAAAGCATGAATTATAACAAATTAATGTAAGACAGTAAGGATCTGATTTTCGAAATATGGACTGAATAAAAGACAAAACAGTAAATAAATGTCAGAGATATAACTGTGTACAAAAGTTGCATGGTCAAGCTAGTATAATGTACAGGACTTCAAATAACTAAGGGTTAATGTAGTGTAGGTTGCACTTACTTGCCAGGTTGGTAAGTGATGCTTGACAGGGATAAATTTTTCAGACGTCACCTTTATTTGCTTAATTTACCTTTGCTGGATTGGATCAAATTTTTGCAGGCAATATTTACTGTCAGGTTTCCTTGTCACTCTTCTCTACACTGTTGATTTTTGATCCTAGTAAGCTTCTGCACTCCACCCTCTTTATGTGACGTTACGTTTCGACCAATCACGGCAAAGATACGTCACTTCCGCGGAAGACTCGTTTCGAGGTTGATGATTTTCGAGGGAATTTTTGAAAATAAGAAAAGTGGTTGATAAAACTTGACAGTTGACAGACGAGGAAGAAACACAAAAGGTAAGCGTTAACTGTACTATCTGTCTATTTTTAGTATACTAAATTGAAGTACATATGACAAGTTATTGACACACGACGCTGTTTACTTGGTATCGCTAAGTTACCGACAGCAATAACGTTAGCTACTCGCTAACCTTATAAATTATGTCATTCATTCAATTTTGTCGTTGTTTATTACATTTCTGTTATCCTAAAACTCTATGACATTCTTTCCCTTCTAAAATGGGTCATTTTAGATTATATAGCCCGACCAGCGTCTGATTCTTTGAAAGAATGACTCTTGTGACTAGGTGTTGTGCATAAAACTGTGTCCAGGGGTCACTGTTCAGCAAATGTTCGCGAAAATTGTATTTTGTCTTCTTCATTTATTTATTTCTTTCACCAGATATTTTTTTGAAAAAAAATTTGTCGCTGGGGACCTCTGGTTGAGTTTATATGGAATTGCCTCACTACGAATTTTAAATTTAAAAGGATAAATGCATCTCCTTCTAAATCCCAACACAGTTCTGTGTTAAAATATGTCAGTTTTGTCTGTTAAAATATGTTTTTGTTTTGTCTCAAGATGCGTAGGAATGTTTTTTTCCAGGGCATGTTTATTAAAGATAGTTAAATGCCCTAATTGAACTAAGGCCTAATCTTGTTTTAATCTAATTCCTGTTGTTTTAATCTAATACCGGGCCCATATGTTTTTATTTCAGTTATGCTTTTTCTTTTGATGCCACAAAGCACCTTCACTGATTACCTAGTATCGCTAATTTTATATTTTTATGAAATGCATATTCTTATATGATATGAATAACAAAACTTATATAAAAATAAGCTTATTTTTAGTTCTTATAGCTTTTTGAAAAGGATTATAGCCAATTAATGGTAGGTAGGTACATGTCAAAGTTCAAACAACTTTTGTTAAAATTGATAAAAATAGAAAGTAGAGGAGCTGACACATCACACAAGTCACTTTAAACATTATTAAGCCTATCAGACAATCAGAAAAGGTTATACAAAACAGCAAGCACTACTGTAAAACATCTACTCATAACAAAACCATAGAAGTAACATATTAGCAGACAAGTGTCATGACATCTAGCTTGTCTATTGTACGTGGTGTTTCTCTAAGACATTAAACATTTTTTTATAGCACTTTTTGCTTGCTTGGCTCTGCACTAATGTAATGTCTGCCGAACAATTGCTGAACAACGCCCCCTGGACACAGTTTTCGGTAGTTCACCGATTTCAGCACAACACCTGTTATTTTTATTGAATCAAAAACGCTGAAATGCAATTTATTTGCTTTCGTCACGTCGGACTGTATGAATGAATTATGAACCGTTACTTTATGTTATATTTAAGGTTCACAAGACTTAAATAGTGTAGACACTGACTGGTTGTTTATGACAACAAAGATAAAGAGATACACATATGAGATTAGTTGCAATCAGTTGTGTTTTATACAATTTAAAGGATGAAATGTTAACACATTGTTTGTTTTTGTTTTATTTTGTCTATAGTTATTGGACTGCATTTATGACACCCCGAAAATGTCTGTGCAAACACACAATGAATAAATCAATTTAAATACATTTTGGTTTTATCTCTGCTAAAAAGTTTAATCTGAAATGATCTAATAATCATTGAGAACAAAGTGCTGGGGTAGTGAATTCAGTATAAACTGCATTTCTTTATTTCAAAATATTTCTTCCTCAAAAGTACTTAAAGAATTATGATTAAATTACAGAAGAAAGTAAACCATCCCTTTAACTTGACCTTTGAGGTTTCATGGTTTTATGGTGTGGTGCTTTAGCTAAAGTGGTATGCATGTCTTCATTGATAGAATGCGTAGATCTGGAGCTCCGAGTCAGATCTGTGGCAATGCTACTAAGAAACCCAGGTTTATGGCACCGGGGCCAGCGAGGAATGATGGATCATCTTTATCGGGTCCCCGACCAGAACCATCACTACCGTCACCATCACCCACGCCTGCTTTGGGAAATGTGCTGCTAAATAAGGTTGAATGAATAAGTCAAAACAAGAGAATGATTAAAAAATGGTCATGCAATGTTTCTGATTATGTACATAATTTATATGTGACTGATAATATCTCAATATGCTGCTATTCATATAGTCAGTTCAGGTTAATTGTGTAGTGCAATTGTGCAGTTATATATAACATTGTGAATGAAAAGGTGCATTTTGCTTTATCAGTGTTAGGGTTTGTTTTTTTATTGCCCTGTGTTTTAAAAGTTACTTCTCCCTGCAGGTCCAGAGGTGTTTGAGTAGTAAAGATTCTCCAGCTGTCTCTAATGCTCCATTGGGCAGTAAGGCTTTGGCCAGGGTCCTGAGTGCTATTCCTCAGGAGGAATATAAGGAAAACAGCCTCGGGTCTTCATCTGAGTGTCTTGAACCTGAACAATCAGCAGATAAAAACAGCTCCTCAATACAGCCGAACACTCTTGCAAACTGCACAAGTGATGGTAAGATACAGCACTGTCATATTCATATATTGTGTGAATGTGAAAGAGAGAGAGAGATTGAAAGGATTAAATATCTATCATGAATACATATCTATTGTTCAATAAATGTCAATCAGATTTTTTTTCAGTCTAGTTAGGGTTTAATTAAAGGCTTTTTCACATGGTAATATAATAACAATGTGTAATGCATTACTTAAACTTTAAACTTGGACTCAAAGAACAAACTCCTTTTTTTTAAATAGATTAAAAAGACAATATTTTGATGAGCGTTCTCAAGCGTTGCATGGACGATCGTAATGATAGCAAATGCTTTATATGCGTCTGTTTCGTGTGTTCTTGCAATCCTTTATCACGTCGATATTCTAGAATATTCTATTTTCTACTATAAAATTGCGATTCAGAAAGAGGAAATGCACTTGTTCACTTTTTAAAGCTTAAACCAAAACTAGTACAGCATGGCTTCTCTATTTCCCTCCTTTAACTTGGGCTTTGAGTGAAACTAACCAATCCGTGCACACGATCCGCTTGATTGACAGGCGCAGTGTGAGTGTGATAGTAATCGTGCCGCGCACAGATTAAGGCAGAGCTTTCCTGCATACTGAATAAACTCTAGTATTTGTGTGTCAGCTCGGGAAATATAGCAACTGGTATCTTAAAAGCAGTTCTATCTCACACAAACAGTGTGCACATAATGCGCGAGCTCATTAGGCGGCAGTTTAGTGTTTCTCTATGCCGTTTCAGCAGTCGCGCGGACTGGCTCTATGCTGTCCAAACACGGACTTGACGCGGTTAAAGTACACACGCTCTAAAACACGCCTTCAGTCGATTCCCTCTAATAATGAAACGCATGTCGCTGTTTTCAGTGGCATAAGAGAGCCCCGCTGTGTTTCTAGTCTAATGTAGTCGGGTGTGTTATGTAGGTCAGGCCAGGCTTAAGCAGCTTTACTGAACCTGCGTCAGCTTAAGCTAAAAGGAATTCCAGCAAAGCCCTCCCCGGGTAGGCGTGGGCCTAATCGAGGCTGGCCTAGTTAAGCCTGATTCTTTTTCTTACTAGCCAGTTTGTGCATGTGTGTGTTGTTTAAGTGAGACGAGCAGTACAGCAGTCTGCTCACACGAGTGAGTAGAGAAAGACAGACACACAGCACAGCACAGGGAAAAGAGGAGAAGGAGATCAAACCTAGAGCATTGAGACCAGCCTAAAAGCAGGATGTCTACCTTATTCATGACAAACAGCATGGTCGGCAAAGCCCGCTCCTCCAACTTCACCCTATCTGAGAAACTGGATCTTCTGCGGCTGGTTCAGCCTCACATACGCATTCTGGAGGAGCACACCAACAAACATGCCGTGATTGTGGATAAAAACCGGTGCTGGGACAGCATAGCAGAACGCTATAATAGTTTAGGAGGCGAGAGACCCCCCAGAACGGCACAGGGTCTTCGGACCCTCTATAAGCGTCTTAAAGAAAGTGCCAAGCAGGAAGTTCTGCATCGAAGCCACGCCCAGCCCGAGTACCGGGGCCGCATCTCGGAGCCCACCAAGCACATCATGGAAATGATACCACAGCTGTTTCACGTAGGGGACAAGGAGCCGAGTGCACTCCATAGGTAAGATTGAGCATACAGATACACACAAAAATGAAATTCGCACATTATCTGGTGCTTCTACATTTCAAAAAAATTATTATCACCCAATAGAAAATTGAAACCAATAACAAGTTTGTGCAAGTAAATGCATTAAAGCTTTAAAGGATTCTAATCGGCTGAATTTGGCTATTAAATGTTGATTACAGCTTCTTTGGATATCTTCACATACATTTTCCCCAGGTTTTTACTCTTTGGCTGCTGTTAATTGTCACACTCAGCCAATTAGAGTTTAGCAATATTATTAGACTCATTTTGAGACATGTAAACAGCTTCTTTGCTAGTTTTGTATTGTCTTAACGGATCAAGGCACACACTGCAGTCACACACTCGCTGTCTTTTCACTCTGTCCTGTGCCAGAGGTAAGCTGCGGTACTGAGGGGATTTGGATGTCATTAACTGTATTTTCGATGCTGCTTTAATGCCAGGTTTGCCACAGTGTGCAGAGCAGTTACTTTGCACTGGCATCTCCACGTCTCCTCTATATCTTAGGCTTTCTGTTGTGTTGACAAAACAACAGGTCTTTCTTTTGAGACCACAAGTCCAATCCAGCTGAGAGCTGTGGATGAACATGATCTGATTCTTTTGAATCCGCTAGCTGAATCAGATGATTGATATGTTATTGGTTTAAACGAGAATTTTCCTGAAAATTCTTTTAAGCTCTTGTCAGCACATTTTTATAAATCATGTTCAAAATTCTATTTTATGATTTCTTTTATGAATCATGTGTATGTGTCTGTGCTAGGCTTCAGTTCAAGAGGAATTCTCCAGGACAGCAGCCGGGCAGCAGCCTGTCCCTCCCAGCGTTGTCGGACTATTCGCATGTTTCAGTTGTGAGGGTGGAGACGGAGGATGTGAAACCGCCTCCTGATATCCACTTGATTACCTCCCACGGTTCACCTGTCACCATCGCCACCCCGAGCAGTCAGGCCCACCCCGGACAGAACGAGAGGGACAGTGAAGTAGTGGAAGAGGAGGACGACGAGGAGGAATTAGCCTCTCACGTTTACGCAGCCTCTCTCTCTCCGTGCCCCTCCTCCGTACACCTGCCGCCCTCACCATCGACCCTCGGCATCAGGAGGAGCGCGTATCTTAGGGGGGGGGCAGCGTTCAAAAATCCAATTTTTGAGGCAGAAGCTTTGCAAATGATGAGAGAGGAGCATGAACTTCTACTGGCTAATCACAGAAAGCTTGGACTATATCTAGAGGAGAAGAGGGAGGGTCTTAAGAGGAAGCAACAGTTGGAGGAGGACCTTCTCCGGTCAAGGGTCAAAGTGGAGAAATTGAGGGCGGCCAGACTACGCCAAGGTTTGCCATTGGTGTGACGCGTACGGTGTCGGATCGGAAAGTGTATCACAAAGGGAACTTGTTAGTTATATGAGGTCAAAATGAGCAGACTTGATTTGTGTAGTTATTTCTTGTTTTGTACAGTTTTTGTACTCAATCGACATTTGTACAGGGATTGATTTTGATATTTGTTGTAATGTGTGAATGCCCGGATTGAAGAAGAAAATGTCTTTATTTTGTATGTATTCGCTAATAAATTCATAATTGCTTCAATCTCTGTTTAAGCCTGTCCTTTTATCTTTCCTTTGGCACACAGGAAGTGTAACATAGCAATAGCCATGAATGAGAAACTTCTCAGTCGAGGTGTTTGTGTCGACTTCATTTGGGTGTTTATTTACAGTATAATGCAGTTATTTAAAATGGATATGGAAAGATGTGCACATCATCAGAGCGGAGATTTTATTGTGAGGGGTAGAGAAAGTTAATGTTTAGATGTGTGACAGATTTGTGAGATATGTCAGATAATAAACCTGTAATATTAAATAAAAAAAATAAGTATTGTCAATTTTGATTTCATGCTGATTGCTGACTTTAGGCTGATGTGAAATCCTTGCAAATGAACATGTAAATTATTTTTATATGCCACTGTTTCTCACCTGACCTGCAACAGTTCTGCATATGCCATTGTCATAGAACATTGTCTATGATGTAAGCTATTTCTATGATGTGGTTTTATTGCTGATCCTTTATTTGTTTATTTTAAAGCACGCTACTATAGTGTAATGTGGTGTAAGGCGTCATCAAGGAAGCATAAGCGCTGGGAAGGCGATGCTGTGCTAGTTGCCAGAGGGCGGACTGTTATCCTCAAAGACATGGAGGGGCGGGACATTGGACGAGGTTAGCCTATCACAGCACATTCTGGCAGTACTTTTGGATTTGATTTTTTTACATAAACACATATTTTAATTTAGGGATGCACAAAATATTTTAAATAGGTCAATATTGGAGTTTTTTTTTTCCTGTATCTGTTGACATTGTATATTTGTGCATGTTATGCTCATGTCCCCTTTTATTGTCATCTAATACTTTTAAAGTTTTTTTTTTTTTAATTACTAATTTAACAAATAATAATTTAACACATTTTTAGCAAATCTCTTAATATCCATTTGTCTCATTGTGCATTATAATTTACCAAAATTCACCTTTAAAGCATTAAAACGTTTGATTTACGTTTTTTGATTATTTTTTATTTAAACAAAATTACTATTGGCCATTTATTGGATATTGGTCATATGATAATAATTATTTAGCCTGTGTAGATGTGTGTTTTGAATCCATGTTTTTTCTGTTAGGTTCAGGCTACAAGGCATCAGAGCTGGAGAGCTTGTGTGAGGGTCAGTCTCTTATGGTGGGAGGGAAACAGATCGAGGTCATGGGGATCATATCCAATGAGGACTACGCCAAAGGCCGTTGTTTCCAAGATGCTGTTGTTGAGACTTCTGCAGAAAAGGTCTTGAAGGCTCCTGTATATCACCCAGTGTCCAAATCCTTTACCAAACCAGCGCTCAAGGGAGGTGCACTTACAGATTCTGAACCTGACAAGCCGATCTGTAAACCCAGACATAACCCTAACACACCAGGTACAGCACATGCTCAGCAGATACTGCATTTATCTGCTTTACAATTATTCATGTAATTGGAAAAATGATTCTTTTATATCCTTATAGTGATTGATAAATTGAATATTAATATTTAAAACGAATATTCTGTCACACTGCAAGTCCATTTAAAATAAAAAGTAACAGAGACAAAAATGTGATTAAAAATGTTTAAAACTTCCAGTTACATTACTTGGCATATGCATTTGCCCTTGAAGATTATGGCTTGGTTTCATAGACAGGGCTTAGATTAAGCCAGGATTAGGCCTTAGTTCAATTAGGACATTTAAGTAGCTTTTATAAACATACCTCAGAAAAAAAACATTACTGATGTACATTTTGAGACAAAACAATGGCACTGACGTATTTTAAGAAGTCAGTGCGAGTTGCTTTCAGTTAAAACAGCAAGGCTCAAGCCTTGTATGCATATTCATTTTTACTATTACGTTTTAATCTAAAGTCTTGTTGGTCTTTTAAAAAATATCCACATTTGTCCTGCTTTGTCCCTATAGGCGCCCTCGTAATGCCACGACCGACAACTGATCACCAGTGGGTGTATAATAAATCCGGTTCTCCACTGGTGGATGTGGTCATCGACCCCCACTTGACCAATCATCTTCGGCCACATCAGAGAGAGGGCGTGGTCTTCCTTTATGAATGCTTAATGGGAATGAGGTAAATAAGAGTTTATCTGTAGTTGCGGTGTTCTTACATATGCACTTTTTTACACATGTATGTTTGTGTGTTGCAGACTTGCTGGCCGCTTTGGGGCTATTTTGGCAGATGAGATGGGACTGGGGAAGACACTGCAGTGTGTTTGTGTTCTGTGGACACTACTGAGACAAGGCCCCTATGGTGGGCGGCCTGTACTGAAGAGGGCAGTTGTGGTTTGTCCAGGAAGTTTGGTTAAGAACTGGGCTGCTGAGTTCAATAAGTGGCTGGGCAGGGAGAGGATTAGTGTTTACACTGTGGACCAGGTGTGTATGTGTGGCTGTTTGTGTCATTTAGATGGATGACTATAAGAGGATTAACAGTGTATGTTGTCTCTGTAGGATCACCGCGTGGAGGACTTCACCTCCTCTCCTCTTTGCTCCGTCATGGTGATCAGTTATGAGATGTTTCTGCGCTCTGTGGACCGATTGAAAGAGCTGGATTTTGGAGTGCTCATCTGTGACGAGGGTCATCGCCTTAAAAACAGCAACATCAAAACGACCAACGCACTCACAGCGCTCTCATGTGACCGCCGTCTTATATTAACAGGTTTTCTATTTAAAACAAACACACTTTTATTAATGTAGTATTATAACATTTGTAATTGTTCAAAACAACTAGAATTATTCATTTAACAGGAACTCCAGTGCAGAATGATCTGCAGGAGTTTTATTCCATCGTAGAGTTTGTAAATCCAGGAATTCTGGGAACATCTGCTGCCTACAGGAAGATTTATGAAGAGCCCATTCTCAGATCTCGCCAGCCCACCTGCACCGAGGTTAAAAGATATTTTGTTCATGTTATGTATGATATATATATTGTTACTACAGTGCATTTGTGGTAAATGTTGTTCATTGAACTTCATCAAAGAATCATGAAAAAGTATCACTATTTCCACATAAATATAAGGCAGCACAACTGTTTTCAAAATTGTTTAACTAGAATTTAAAAAAGAAATGTTACCGGAGCTCCTTTTATAAAATATATTAGAATTGCTTCGTAAAGGGATACTTCACCTTCACCTGATACTTCAAAAGATGAATTTGTATTTAAAATGAGTCATTTATGTAGAAGAAATGTGAAATTATTTTTGAATTTGGAGCTTTCTAGACTGAGAAAATCCTGAAAATGTATTTTTGGCTGATGTGGATGAAAGACAACAACTCCCAGAATGCACTTGTTTCGCTGCCCTAGGAGGGCGCACCTACCGGTCCGGTAGGTGACAGAGCGCAGCATTTAAACAAGTCTAGGCATAATATAGTGAGTCTTCGTGCCGAGTCTGCCCGGGATTTTGATATCGCCCAAAATGTCCAGGATTTGGCTTTTGCGTTCTACAGTCGCAATTCATTATGTTTACTGTGGCGAGAAGGACGAGGCTAGGGCCGCGGGAGAACGACGCGAGGCCAGTGGCGTGATTACTGACCCACCGGTCTCGTATCTCTCACGGAGGAGCGGGAATTTTCCTAGCAATGTTGAAACGCACATCAACAGATCAGCTGTTTAGCGTTCATGTATTCAATACTACATTTTTGGCTGACGAAATTTCAGTAATTAAAATAAAAAATAAAAAGATTTAGAATTTAGGCATCACAACATTTATAATTAATGTTTTCAACATTATAATTAATGTAAAAATAAAGATAATGAGCATTTACAATTAAATATCTAATACTGACTGTCTGATACTAATAGATAAAAAAAAGTCTCTTCAACATTCTTGAGCAAATCTCCTTGTTCCCACAACTGTGTCTGTAATCATCAGCTGGTGTGGTATGTTGTTTATTGAACTGTGTTTTAGGAAGAGCGATGTATTGGAGAGGAGCGTGCCGCTGAGCTCTTTCGTCTAACAGGTGTGTTTACGTTACGGCGCACTCAGGAGATCATTAATCAGTATTTATCCGAACGGATTGAGTGGACCGTATTCTGCAAACCCACTGAGCTCCAGCTGCGTCTGTATGGAGTCCTTCTGGCCTCACGGCCCATCAGAGCCTGCCTCTCTGGTGCCAGCACACACACTTACACACACAGCCCACACCTCGCATGCATTAACGCCCTCAAGAAACTCTGCAACCACCCTGGGCTGCTCTACAACACTCTACAGGTACAATAGGTGCTAGTATTTTTCTCTGTCATGTTCTTTATCTAAATTTTGCTGCTTTTTAATTATGTTTTGTGGTATTTGCTTCAGGCAAAATCAGATGATATGATGGAGGATGGAATTATGGAACTCTTTCCTGAGGGATATTCCACTGGTGCCTTCAGCACTGCAGACTCTGGGAAACTTCTGGTGTTAACAGACCTGCTGGCAGCGATACAGCATGTCAATCGAACAGACAGGTACCACATAGAGTCCATTAGAGACAACTTATTTTTAAAGATTTACTCCTAGGTTTTCATATCAAAAAATGACTAAAACAACAAATCTGATGTTTCTGATAATCTGATCTCAGTCATATCAGTGACTTTGTACAAAATATATTTTGGCACCAACAATTTAAGGTTACATTACAACAAAGACATTTTGGTGGTCAAACTGGGTTTTCTTACATAATATATTATATAAAAAACAAATTATAATATAATATTTGTAAATAATCATTGTTTTGATTTGCTTTTATGTTTTTTTTAATAAAGTGCTTAAGCACTCAAAACTATAATATAATAGATGTACTTTCATGTTTTTTAATTTTTAAAGTGATTGAGCACTCAAAATACATTATACTGTATTTCATGGTTATCGTATTCAATTCTATCTTTTCCACACATTTTTTTTCTGACTATTTTGTATGGTCTTGGGTGTATATTGCTACTGTGACATGGACATTTCTTGATGGAGGTTAAAAAGTATTTTCTTATCTTCAAAACTGTTAAAGTAAACTTAGTAACCTGATTGACTTGCAAGTCACTTTTGTTAAAGGGACAGTTCACTTTGAAATTAATTTTTGATATGTTTGATATGTGACAAGAACGGTTTGACCTGAGAATATCAAAATTGAAAATACTGTGGAAACAAAGACACCTACATCTTGGATGCCCTTGAGGTAAGCTAAAACAAAAGAGACTTGCAAGTCAATCAGGTTACTAAGTTTACTTTACCAGTTTTGAAGATAAGAAAATACTACGAGAAATGTCCATGTCACAGTAGCAATATACACTCAAGAACATACAAAATAGTCAGAAAAAAATGTGTGGAAAAGACAGAATTGAATATGATAACCATGAAATACAGTATAATGTATTTTGAGTGCTCAAGCACTTTACAAATGAAAAAACATGAAAGTACATCTATTATATTATAGTTTTGAGTGCTTAAGCACTTTATTAAAAAAAAAAACATTAAAAGGAAATCAAAACAATGATTATTTACAAATATTATATTATAATTTGTTTTTTTATATATAATATATTATGTAAGAAAACCCAGTTTGACCACCGTCTTTGTTGTGACTGAGTGCAAAAAAAGTGCCCATTAAATTGATGTGTGTAGTGTGAGACTCATGTGCATTTTTGTCTCGCTCTATTTCTCTACTCAGGGCTGTTTTGGTGTCCAACTACACACAGACTCTTGACTTGCTGCAGGATGTCTGTGATCAAATAGGCTATAAATGGTGTCGGCTTGATGGCCAGACACCTGTTGCCCAGAGACAACGAATTGTTGATTCCTTCAACAGCCCGCACTCACCCAACTTCCTGATGCTACTCAGCTCCAAGGCTGGAGGAGTGGGGCTAAACCTCATAGGTGCCTCTCATCTTGTTTTATACGATATGGACTGGAACCCTGCCAATGATATACAGGTCAGTGGACTTCCACATTACACTTAGCCATCTAACAATAAATCACTATATATAAAGCAGTATTACACGAATATAATGCAATTCATTGTTTCGAGAGCAGTTAGAAACGTTTGTTGTAAATCCACATGCTTGTGTTAGTTGCACCTTTAATAAAGACCACAAGGTGGCAGTGAATACAAAAAAAAATCCTTTCATTTTCCTATTTTGTAAATCATCTCATTCTCTCTCAAGTATTTGTGTGTGAATGCGTGTCACAATTATTTTGTTTTACTGCCATGACAAATGCTTTCTGTGAGCTCTCGTTTTGTAAGACTCAATCATCTAATTATTATTGATATTCATCTGTCAGGCCATGGCACGTGTGTGGCGTGATGGACAGAAGAAAACAGTTCACATCTACAGATTTCTGACAACAGGTAACCAAAACATTTGTAAATTACCCAGAAAATTATTATCATCTCAGTATCGAGTCTGTTGATTGATAAATTAAGCTGTTTCTTTTGACTGTGCAATTATTAGAAGTACTTGACCTGAAACATCTCACTGGTTTTCATCAATCATAACACACACAAAAAAAGATTGTATTTGTTTATGGGTTTGCACATGATTTTGGCCTGCAGTAAATCAGGACCTTAAAGTGTGTGTCTCTTGTAGGTTCAATAGAAGAGAAGATCTATCAGAGGCAGGTGAGTAAACAGGGGCTTTCTGGGACAGTGGTGGACCTGACCAAAAAAGCGGATCATATTAGCTTTTCTTCTGAGGAGCTACGAGACCTTTTCAGTTTTGACCCTAATACAACCTGCCTCACACATGACCTACTGGGCTGCCAGTGCACCGGAGATGGAAAAACAGCAGGTAAATAAATGCAAACAAATCAATTAAATTAAATTAAACAGAATTAAATAAAGTAGGAACTAGATGATTCCCTATTATGGCTTTCAATCAATTAAAAATGTTATCATTAATTGTAATATACTAATTAATGCACAATCAGTCACATATATCAATATTTTCTGAAAAAATAGATTGTTCAAAGCCTTTACATATACATACCATTCAAAGGTTTGGGATCATTTAGTTGAGCATTTTGCTCAAAAGTGACAGTAAAGACATTTATAATGTTAGAGTTCTTTTTAAAATAACTTTCTATTTATTAAAGTATCCTGAAAAAAGGTATAATAGTTACCACAAAAAATTGTATTGCTGTTGAAATTCAATTTTGAATCTATATACACTCCCCTAAAGGATTATTAGGAACACCTGTTCAATTTCTCATTAATGCAATTATCTAATCAACCAATCACATGGCAGTTGCTACAATGCATTTAGGTTGTGGTCCTGGTCAAGAAAGGTGATTTAAGCAATTTTGAGCGTGGCATGGTTGTTGGTGCTAGACGGGCAGGTCTGAGTATATAATAATCTGCTTAATTACTGGGATTTTCAGGCACTGGTGGTCTTCTGCTGCTGTTGCCCACATGCTTCAAGGCTCGATGTGTTGTGTGTTCAGAGATGCTCTTCTGCAGACCTTGGTTGTAATGCATGGTTATTTGATTTTTTGTTGCCTTTCAATCAGCTTGAACCAGCCTGGCCATTCTCCTCTGACCTCTGGCACCAACAAAGCATTTTTGCCCACAGAACTGCCACTCACTGGATATTTTCACTCCCTCTTTTTCAGACCACTCTTTGTAAACCCTAGAGATGGTTTTTGTGCGTGAAAATCCTAGTAGATCAGCATTTTCTGAAACACTCAGGCCGCCCGTCTGGCACCAACAACCATGCCATGTTCAAAGTCACTTAAATCACTTTTCTTCCCCATTCTGATGCTCAGTTTGAACTTCAGCAGATTTTCTTGACCTACATTCTGTGTGTGTGTGTGTGTGTGTGTGTGTGTGTATGAGTGTGTGTATATATTTCATTAATTTGCATATATTTGTGCCAGGTTTTGTGAAGGAGATAAACGAGGAGACCGGAAGGGCATGTCAGCTGGGTCGCCATGCTGACAGCACAGTGCCATTACCGCAACGAGTTAGCATGTCTGAGCTCATGCAATGGAGCCATTTTTCGGGAGCTGTTCAATCATTTCATGATATTTACCTAAACCATGCCCGTAACCACATCACATATGCCTTTCAAAGCACAACTTCTAAATCCCAAACAGTCTAAACTCTTCCTCTTCTCAAAGAAAATTTAATACAAACCCACTGCCCTCATGCTGTGTAAATATTCCTGTGTGTTTGAACAATACATTTTCTCCTTTTAATAAATCTTTTACCATTCTTCTTATTTTTCGGTTGTCTGCACAAGCAAGTGTGTTTGTCCATTTAGGAAACCTGCTGATAGATTAATAACATAATCAGAAATGGGACCAAGGCATCTGTCAGACAAATATATTCTCACATTTGCTCTGGTTTCATAGACAGGGCTTAGATTAAGACAGGATTAGTCTTTAGTTTAATAATAAGGACATTTAAGTAGCTTTTATAAATAAAACAGTGGCACTGACACATTTTAAAATATGCCAGTGCCTACTTTTCAGTTAAAACAGCTTAAACATTTTTTCACGTTTTTTTTTAAGCTTTTAAGCAAGTAATGTGTCCAGTATAATTCCATTCCAGTTTCCACCTATATCCTCTAGTCTAGTTTATTACATTATTTCCCCCTTTTTCACCATAGTTTTTACAATGTGGATGGGTTATATTAAATCAAATGTTTCCCAAAAAAGGCTTGTTCCTCCTCAATAGGAGAACCTTTGAACATGATGCTGTGCTGGATTACATTGGTTACACAGATGGTTCATTTAATGCTGCTTCCGTCTAAATCCGTCCATTGTCACCATTAGGAACAGAAACAATGTCTACGGAAATCAGAAATGACAGAGCAATCACGAAAGCAGTGAGGGACAACAGTCACCAGCAGGAGATGAGCTAGTCTCCGTGACTCATTAACCAAACTAACCTGGGTGCACGTTTGCTGGTGTTGTTTATTGACAATGTTTCAGGGTTTAAATGGGGCTTTGATAAATCATTCTGCTGTGATGTAACGCGTGAGTCAGTTGTAGTCTTTCTGTGTGCGTCTATATCTTTGGTGGAGAGTATGACTGTTGAAGATGGCGTGTTAGTCAGACCCTTGTGTATAAGCAGCCTCTTGAGATCCTGACACTGTCCAGGCTGTGATGATGAGATCCCAGCAACTGTTACCAGAGTAACAATACAATGTTAATTGGGTCTGTAGGGACGTGAGTACAGTGTATGTTCCTCAGCCAAGCTTTTACTGTAAGTACTGTTAGCTGTGCAGATCGTCCCACAGGGAAGGACTCAACCGTCACCTGACAAAGTAAAGACGTGTGCTCAGAACAGTTATGTTGATGAGGATGTAATGGGGCATTTCCGGTGCATACTGTACGTAACAAAGCTTTTTACTTATGCTTGGAAAATGGCTTCGGCAATTCACATTAATGCAATAGCGTACATGTAATTATGAATGACAAAAAACTACAAACCGACCTTAAAGGTATGGTAGGCGATTTTTTTGGAGAGGCTAGCAATAGCAAAAGCTATAGCTTTGAAAGCATGAGATTACACCTTCCCTTCAGAGTGTCTTCAAAGCCATGCCTCCTTCAAAACACGTAAACGCGCACAGCAGAGTTTGCAAAGTGTCACAAGGTGAGAGACGCCGTTAAACTATCTCGGGTCTCAAAGCACATAACATTAATGAACATAAAGTGCATTGACTTGTATCACCTGACTGTTGCAGATTCATTAAGGTGTTGATAGTGTTGCCATTGAAACGCATAAATTCGGAATGGCGTGATCTCTTGGTTGAATTAATAGAACAATATTTTTGCAGTAAAGTCAAGTAGATTCTATATTTTTTACATTTTGAGTGTATTTGTTGATTTCATGTTATAAAAAGATGCAGCAAAGCGTGATGTCATAGTACGACCGTTGCTGTGTCTGAAGAAATGTTGCATGCTTGAATCTATTGTTACCATGGCTTGCATGAATCGCTCTGTTGATGTTTGAGCAGAGTGCGCAGAGTTACATAGGTTGACTGGCAGGTAGGACATCGCACCGGTCCAAATGCAATGATGGGACGAACATTTTATGGTACGACTTCCATGGATTATGTAGGATTATGTGGTGTATATAGGCCTATGTGAGGAATTGGAAGCAAGCAGAATACGGGTGTTTCTAAAGCAAACTCAGCGTCATTACACATCTGGTTAAAAACTAAACTCAGAATCGATTCTGAAATTATCAGAATCGATCGAGAGAGAATCGCGATGGATCAATTTTTTTTTTCTCCCACTCCCTATATAGTACATAATATATAAATACATTTAGACCGCTTAACTTAGTGATTGCTATCGGGATGTAAAGAGACTTTCAACCAGCATAATAAAAATGTTTCTGGAACAAATCGCCTTGCCTGCCTTCAAAACAAGAAACATTAAAATTAGAGTCTACACCCCTCGATTATTACATATTTAGAATATTTTTACAAACCATTTTCTATTTTGTAAATTTTTTTTTAGATATTTTAGATTTTCAGCTGCAATTACTCTAGGCTTCAGTGCATGCCTCATGTTCCTTTAAAAATCTTGGTAAACTTTAAAAAAAAAAAAAAAAAAAAAAAAACATTTATTCACTGTAAAAAAAATATTTTCATGATTTGTAATCACAACATTTTTTCTTTCGTCAAATCAACTTAGATAATTTATTAAGTTCAGATAACATCATATTTTGAGTTTCTGGTGATTAAATGAATCTCCTTCATTGTAAACTCAATTTTTCGAGGCAACCAGGTTACTTATTTTTTAAGTTAAACTAACAATATTTTTTTACAGTGTAGAATTATGCAAAAGTCAAAGTTGATCGTCCAGGTGAACATCTCAATTTGGATGCTTTAAGGTACTTGACATTTGACACCCTGTCTAATCTCTTTCTTTGTGGCGTTTGCTCTCCAAGACTAAATTAACTCATCCCTTTTCATCCCTTCTTTCATGACGCATGGCCCAGTTACTGCAATTAATTGGACTGGAATCAGCGTTCAGCTCAGGTCTCAGTCTTCATTGACATGACCATAGCAGCCCTTTACCACACACGAGTTGCACTGCACTAACCCATGCTTGAGTTGTTCCAGTTATCACACCAGAAAAGCACCATAATGCTTTTAGTTTGATGTTTGTGGTGCATCAATCATCCATATTATCTGTAAAGCACCATTTTTACATCTCTGGCCATCTCTGATCTCTAATAACCTATTTCTGATCTGCTCTTAGAGAAGTGAATGAATGAAGGAAATAATCCAGCACTCCACTGTGATTTCTCTTATCCGTCCAATCCCTTTTGTCTATATCAATCCTGATAGAAACTCCTCATAATCCAGCAATTACATTAATAACTCATTATAATCTGTCATTTGTGGCCCTTTGAGCAGCAGAGAATGTAATCGGCATCTCGCTACATGTGCATGTTAGTGCATAATAGTAATAGAAATAGAGAGCATGAGCATCTGGTGATGGACACTGTCTGACCCCTTGTTTTGTTTGCATGCCGAATAGTATTGAAAATAATGATGGAACCTGTCGATCTTGGTTTGGTTCAGTAATGGTCTCTTGTTGATTGGTGTTTGCATGGAAGTCAGGACAGAAATAAAATGACCACGAGATATGATTTGTTACAGAGTTCAGATTGTGATTTGCATTCTGCAATTCAGTACAAGTCTATCAGATCTTTATATAAAATATGTAGTATATTATTTAGAATATGCTTTATCATCGAATGACTTCTAATTTGTTTGTCTGTGTCTGTACTTAATACGATTAATTACTGCTCTAATAGGTGTCCTGCTTTAACCTGGCCTTAACTGGTTTACTGTGCTAACCAACATACTAATCAAGGTTGCATAATGTCACTGACTTTGGCAATACCACCTGCAATAGTTGCATTTTGTATGCAGCACTTCTGACATGCAAGTTCACTATCTCTACTCCATGTGTGTGACCTGTAAATTACACCCTTCCCAGAAAGAATTATTACTTTTAAAAAATATAGATGATAACGGTTTTCAAACTTTTGATGTCAAGCATGATCATCATTTTCATCCCTTCCTGAAATAAAAAAGGTTATGCAAGCTATTTTCATAGCCTATACGTGTGAGAATGCCTAAAGATGTGTGAGAATTTATTAAGCATAGCTAATGTTATAACAATGGAAAGTGGAAATTAATAATGTATTAAAGATGGGATATAAACACTTAAAATCTGTTTAGATAGAATAGAATGATTGTGGTTAATTAATATCAGAATATCGTTAAAAACTTGATCGGTAAATCAGTTGGCAATATTATCAAATTATGTAGGCCTACGTAGTTAATATCTTAAATTGCACAAAACATACATTTCCCTAAATTTCCCACGCTTCGAAGCGAGACATGATTCTAGAGATGAAACTGCATTTTACACCCATCGGTTGGTATAGGAAAGACCCGCTGAAGCTCACTGGGAGGGACAAGTGACGTCAAGGAAATCCTCACTGCTAACTGAGACCTTAATATAACCATGAACTGCACTGAGAGCTCAAAGCACATTACTGCGCAAAATATAGCTTGACGGACAGGATTACCAGGGCAAAAACACACCAATCCTCATTCGGGTGCGCTTAATTGAAGACAACGAACGAAGCCAAGAGCAATTAGATCTTCTTGCTGAACAGGTTCCTGCTGGATGGGACTGAATCTATTAGGGTATTGGAGCACAATTTTCCATCGTCCGATTTAGTCCGTTAATTCTTTGTTTAAGTCACACTCAAAGAGACAACCGTCGTTTAAACAATCTAGTGTTTGTCGCCGAATTGCACACATGACCCTGTTGGCGAACATGCGGCGCCACAGCATTCGCGTTCAGCATCACCTGCACCGGTGGAGCATCTGCGGGACGGACGGTGGGCAGCTGCTGAGTGATGCTTTCTCGCGCCCCGATATTGGGATGTCCCGGTCTAGTTCCAGTTCCTGCTCTTGCTCGTCCTCCTCTTCAGACTCCGCTCTCTCGAACGAGTGTGCGACTCCAGCTTCGGTTGGACCCTTCACTGTTGTCCTGCTTGGAGACAGCGGTGTCGGCAAGTCCGCGCTCGCCAGTATATTCGCTGGGGCGTCTGACAGCATGGGCAGCGAATGCGAGTTGTATGGAGGTATGTTGACAATTAACTTGACTTTTCTTTAATACTCCAACTGTTCACAGCGATATTAACTAGTCAATTGCATAAAAAAATCACAAAGTGGCACTGATATACAATAGGCCTAGCTACAATAACAATGTTTATTTATAAAGCACTATCTACCGAAGTTGACCAACCAAAGTTAGAAGTAGGTAACCTATAGTAGAAAAAACAGAGAACAAGATGTGAAATAGCTTAGGTGGAATGCATGAAAGTAATCATAAAAAACAAGTCAATATATTACATGCCAAAGAAAATAAATGAGTCTTAAGAGTAGCCTAGACTTAAACATGGATAAAGTTTGGAAAGTTCTGATATGAACCGGGCATAGGCGGAAATCGCGGGGGGGTCGGGGGGGTCAGGACCCCCCCTATCTGAGGGTTGTCCCCCCCCCCCCAAAAAAAACATTAAAATATGTGTATTGTAAATAATGTAATGATATATTCTTAAAATAATTAAGAAATAAAATAACACAAATGCAAACGGGGCAATAACGAAAAAAGCGTTCTAAACATTTTGAGACCCCCCTCCCTTGCCTCGCAGTGCGTTGGTCCACCGCCTCCGTCCCTTTTACCTCAGACACACACATTCCGGTGGCGGGAGAGAAAAACAGTTTTTGAGTAGTTGTGGAACTCCAGTAAAGGGTGTCGCACACCGGACGAGAAGCGTCGCGCAGCGCCACGTCTTTAAAATTCGAACACATTATTCTCTATGAGTTTACACACACCGGCGGCGCCGTTCGGCGTCTGTCCGCGGAGCCCAGCAACGGCTCAGGACCGTGTTCAAAACCCTGCTGCGCCACAGAGCGCCATTTACGTAGTTTTATATACAATTTAAATTATTTTTGTCTCAAATCGGTGCTGACGGATCCTGACTTCGCCCTATGCTGCAATATGCATTTAGTTTTGCATTCATTTACAGAAATCAGTTGAATGACAATTGCTGGTGTTATTGGATTTTTTTCAAGTGAGATTCTCAATTCATTCAGTAAACGGATGCTCTGAGGTAAAGTTTTCAGACTGCAGACTCAGGAACGATTGTATTTAATTGTACAGTACAATAATAACTTAGAACAGACATTATCTTCATGTCATTAAACATTACAATATTGCTGGCCATACACTGATGAGAAAGTCCGGGTGCGCCGTGCATTTAGATTGTAACGGTTTTACTGTGATTTAGTTGGTTTATATCATTTAATATAGTTAAAGAATGAGTCAATAAATGAAATAAATCGCTGCGCTGCGTGAGGAGAGTAACGTTATGTAAATAGATTCGCCGCTGGCTTAAACCAGAAAGAAATTAAGAAGTATAGCCTAATGAAATGGTCTCCATGCTACACTAATAATAGTAGTAAGGCTTTCCTCTGTATTCCTCTTTCCTTTTTGCCTGTATTATTGGTGTCCCCTTCAAAATTTGCTCTTGAGAATTGTTATGTTTATTGTCCCCCCCAACATTTTGATGAAATTTTCGCCCCTGGAACCGGGAGACTATTCCATAGTTACCTTTCCACTTACGTTCTTAAAGGCACAGTTTTATACAAAAATGAAAAGTCTGTCATCATTTACTCACCCTCAAGTTTTGTTCCAAAGCTGTATGAATGTCTTCTGCTGAACATAAAAGGTATTTTGATGAATCAGTAGCCTAACTAAATGGTTAATGGGCCACATTGACCTCCATATTATGGAGAAAAAAGTGGAATTTAATAGGTCCCTTGTACTTTAAAATATATTCATGTGTGTTCAGCAGAATAAAGAAATGCATACAGGTTTGGAACGTTATGATGAGTAAATGATGACAGAGTTTTCATTTTGGTTATTTATAAAGTTCATAAATTAAAAAATATCCAGTCATATTTTCAGATGCAATAGTCTGATAAATAATTAATTACAAAGTCGCAAGACAAACCTTATTACACTGAAAACTTCAAATATAGATTTGTTTATTGTCAATATAAGATATAATTCATATACTTATAGGTCAAATTATAATTTTCGACAATTTTGCCATGGCCAGTATTCACAACCTTAGCTTGTTTCAACTCGTTGTCCTTTTTAATGTTGTTAGGTGAAGTATTCGAGCAGACAATTCCAGTAGACGGTGAGAGGGCCACCGTTACCCTACTCGACATGTGGGATTCACAGGTAACACTTTTAGTTTGTCAGCAAATTATATTAAGACAGCCTACTTTCTTATAAGAGATGAGAGGTTCTGAGACATTCTACTTTTTGTGTCCGTCAGGAGGAGGGCAGCTGGACGCAGGAGCGATGTCTGCAGGCAGGAGATGCTTTCATTATAGTTTATGCCATAACAGATCGTTCAAGCTTCCTTCACGCATCAGAACTTCGTATTCAGCTCCGGCGGGAACGTGAGGCTGACCGCACTCCAATCATCCTGGTTGGAAATAAATGTGACCTGGTCCGCTGCCGAGAAGTGTCCATTAGTGGTAAATATGTAGCCTAGTAAAACTCTTAAATCCAGCTATACTCCTTATCTTAAATACAGTTACTTCAGTAGCATTAAAACTAGCATATTTAATCTTCTTAACCTGAATCCTCTCACGGAGTTGTTAAAGCTACTATTTGTTTTAGCTTACATCACTGAGAATTTTTATTTCATACTTGATGTCCACTCTTTTTTTTCAGAGGGGCGTGCGTCTGCTGCTGTCTTTGACTGTAAGTTCATTGAGACGTCAGCAGCAATGCAACACAACGTCTGGCCGCTGTTTGAGGGCATCATCCGCCAGCTCCGTCTACGAAGAGACAGCTTGGAGACTCTCACCAGGCGCTGTTCTCTTCAAAAGCGTCGGGAGAGTCTCCCAAAGAAAGCAAAGCGTTTCATTAACAGATTGGTTGCTAAGAAGAACAAGCAAGCTGCCTTCAAACTCAAGTCTAAATCATGTCATGACCTGATGAGTCTATAGTGTGTGACTTTGAATAGCTCTGAATGTTTTAATTGTATTGTATGAAGTTTGGGTGCAAAGTGTCTGATCAAGTGCTTGCTTTACTGTAAGTTGTTTTAAGAAAGCCGTTTATGTCTATATTAGACTGTACTAGAAGAGCAATGATTGCAGGCTTCTCGCTCCCTCTGTGAAGGACAGAATGCTCTCTCTGTGTGTGTGTGTGTGTGTGTGTGTGTGTGTGTGTAAAAACAAGTATTTTCCAACTTTTGCTGTTAAAAGAAATACAATTTTTTTTTTAATCTAAAGAGTTTTTTTTTTTTTTAGATTAATTGTAAATATTTTTAGTCCTTTTAAAAGTGCACACATCCAGAAAAGCTGAAAATACATTAACCTTGAAAACATAAACCAGCTGTTACTGTGGTATTATTATGATACTGATTCTGTATTTGAATCTAATTAAAATTCCGTACAAATTTTTGAAAACTGCAAGATTTTAAAAACAATACTGTTTTCATGTAAGCTAATTTGGGTGACGTCATGCATATAATGTGTTCAGACCAGGCACATTGTGACATCATAGTGACATCACCCTACTCTGGTCTGACATGCAGCATTTTTAGACATTTTCGTGGATCCTTGTGAATGGGAGTGTTTTGACAACATGCCGTCTGTGAATAATACACATAAACATTTATGTTTTTTTCATCATTGTCAATGTACCCTAATCGATCATTTTAAAGTGTCAATTAAGTGTGTTTTCAACCGACATACAATCAAAAATACAGTGGGGTCCAAAGTTTGATTATACATTGAAAGTCTGGGACTTAATATCTAATTTATTGCTGGAAATATTAAAAGAAAACAAGGATTTTGGCAAATTTAACACAAAGATACTATTATAGGTCACCAATCAAGTAGAGCATTTGTGACTATAGGTATTATTAACAATTGATAAATACATAATCTAACAATGAAAAATACTTCTAAAGCATTTATTAATCTTAGATAATGCAAGTGACTTGTAAAGTGAGATATAAAGATTATTCTATAACGATAATTCACAGATTATGTGTACAGCACAGTCTTTTTATTACAGCTTCACCCCTACTGAATATATGTGTGTATTACAGGAACACTTTTGTTCGGAAACACTCCTCCTACTTACCTTTCAAAGGTGAAAAGGGCAAACCAATGACACATTCAATGTGTGATCACTGCTGTTGTGTGATTGAATAATTCTGAATGCAGTGTATGTGTCAAAACTGTTAAGACTGAAGCTAGGAAGCTGTGTTGCCTTTTTATTTTTGATTATGGCAGGCTAGCAGATTGTCAGGTATTGCTCATTTTGAGGCCATATCCTGTCAGATCTGCTATGCATGAGGCAGCAGGTGGACTGTTACATCAAACTTTAAACACAATAGTGTTGCAATGTTATTGACAAATGTGGTCAACCAATTGCAATAGTTCACATCATCAGCAACATTTCTGTTTTAGTACCAATGCCAGCAGTAAATATCTTCATCCCTAACCCTACTCTTTGCCCTCGTCCTTCTCTTCATTTTGCTGATACGGCTGCATAATAATTAGTCAGTGGAAAAGCATGGGCACTTCTTGAGTAACTGCCACTCAAGGTGCCTTTAGCCATAGACATTTACATGTAAAGAATCACTTATACAGGAAGTCATTACAATAGATTTCCCAGAAGTTAATGTCTTACGGTATATTATTTTGCTTTAATTTATATTATATTGCTTAAAGTGTTGCTGAGAAAAAGTGAGCTGTCACTCTTAGTTAATCATATTGTTTCAAATCATTCTATAAATCATCAAATGATTATATTTTTTTTGTGGATCACAAAATATAATTTATAGAATGTTTACACTGTTTTGTCAATACAATGAAAATGAATGGGGTACAAAACAAAGAACTTTCATGGTAATACAAAAAAAAAAGACTTTAAAAATATCTACTTTTGTGTTCCACAGAAGAAAGCAAGCCATAGGTTTGGAACGACATGGGGGTGAGTAAATGAAGTTTTATTTTTAGGTGAACTATTTCTTTAAAGGGATTCTGTCAGTATTTACTCACCCATGTTGTTCCAACCCCGTAAGACCTTCATTCATCTTCGGAACATGAATTAAGATATTTTTGATGAAATCTGAGAGCTGGATACTAGTCCATAGGCTTCTTGGGGGATGTCATTGATGAATACTTGTTCTTGCAAATGTTTTCATTTTCAGTATCAGAAGAACTGAGACTCAAATATGAGAAACAACCAAGCCAGAGTCCATCAAAAGGTCAATGACCAAAGATTGCAGCCCTGTATTACTCAAGATTGTGAACATACTGCTGTGAAGAAGGTGACCTTTACGCTGCCTGTATATGTACAGTGATTTTCATCTGTCACAGCTTGTTCTCAGAGATGTTTGCTTTTTTTGTTCAAGATTGATCTCAGAATTTTGCTTTGTCCCTTGCGTTCTAATCATCTTGCACAGAAAATATTATAGTTATATTATAAATAGTTGGATAGTCTTTTCTTCTCTATTGTGACGTATAAAGTGAAAGGGCTTCTTGCTTGATTTTGTCCATCTGGATTTGATTGGGTGATATTGCTGTGAGTGACAGGATGCCCCGCCCTCGCACCAGTAAACACATCACCAGAGACTAGAAGATGTCACTGCAAGTGGGAGTGGACGTCATTTGAAGGCACATGGGTTAAAATAAAAGTAAATGGATAAATCATTTATAACAGATACTGCAATATTCCATTAAAATATGGTGACTTTAATGAAATGCTAGATGTTTGCACATTGACATATCCACAGTATACTGTACCCTAAATGGTGTCATAAAATACATTACATTTACAGTCCACTCCCCTTCATGGTGAATCAGTTGATAATGATTAGCCTCAATAAAGTTGAGTTAAACTTTGACTTGAGCAGGAAACTCTGCAAGACTGAAACCTCAGTCTTTTGAGAAGAGAGGAGCTCTGCTGACAGGTCTGTGTGTCTTATCCTTTCATTTTATTTCTTCTTAGTTGCTGTCTTTTTAGTTTAGGCTGATTATAAAAGTATACATTTTTAGTTACCAATATGTCATTAGCCTTGTGACGATGCTTCCGCTGCCTACGACCGGCTGTGATCTTGTTTGACTTTGCTCAGTGCTTTCAGTAGGACGTAGACCAGCTTATGTGGAAGGGCATTTAAAGATTATCGCAAATTGCTGTAGCATTGTAGAATTGCATTCTGGGAGCGAACGTATTTATGAGCATATTTTCTAGAGGAGCAAGTAGGCCTTTAATATTTTTTGATCTCATACTGTTAGAATGTCATCAGAGGTCACAAGCTTTGGCTGGAAATCAAGGCCTCTTGTTCTCATACCTCGATACTAAGAACTTTACTGTTGTTTATATCTATCTAACCTCACGGTAATGGATAAATACATTTTGATATGTCGTTTGAATTGCTTGGTTTCGTTTTAAAACACTTTCAGTTTGAAAATGTTCCCATTTGCTTTACTCTCATTCTTACTGCTACTTTGAGCTGGTATTTATAACATCGAGCGCGGGTATTGATTTCAGCTTGTGCATCAGACTGTCCTGATTCCTTATGTAGACATAAGATATAATGAAACAATCATTTATCTGTAAAGTGTTCATTGAGGTTTAAGCAAAAGTAGCTTATCAGAGGTCACATTAACTTCAATGTCACCTTGTGTCACATCTGTCTCAAGGCGTGTCTGTCTTTCACAATAGATCCGACAGATACAAGTGGAATAAAAATCCAGTATCAGTAAAGCACTAAACCTTACAGCTTATTTAAACACACTATTTCAGTACAGAACAGCCGACACAGCTTAATCTACTCTTGGATGGACTCAAACTGCAACTAAAACAATCCGATTTATCTAGAGATGTTTATCTGTTCACACACACTGTTTGATCAGATTAACTTTTCTAGAGAATTCTGTTTACTGTTTATCTTCACAACTTCCTGTATTCATTTGTGGTCTACCACTGTCTAATTAATTAATATAATGATATTGATATTAACAATGTTAATATTGTTCTCTCTCTTCATTTCATTGTATTAACTAAAAATTGTCCGAGTTTCAGTAAACTCAACATTTTAAGCCAACCAGGTTACTTTCAACAAAAAAAATGTTTTCACTGATATGTTAAATTGAGAAAAAACAATATTGTTTTTGCATTTACTATAGCAACATCTTCATAAAGTTGTCATTTAATTTGAGAATCAACTGAACTGAGATATTAACCTTAAAATGCACTGTTGTTTCATCATGTATTGCAATTGAAAATCAGACAAAGAAAGAAAGGTTAAAAAACACACAAACATTGAAACATTGTATAATATAGTTTGGCCCATTCCTATTCTCAGATGTGTGGATACACATGTATGGACATAATATTGTACATGTACAAATATTTAATGGTTCATTTGTTTAAAAGACTTTGTAATATGACTGTCAGCACAGACATTCTTAGATGTAATAAACTGTGATGCAGCAGTGACACACACTTAGTCAGTGCTGTCTGGCACAGGACGCCACCCACTCGAGAATGCCAAGTGCCCTTTAAATAACCTTTTTATGGGCTGCGATTCATGAAAACACGCGCACACACAGGACAACAGCCATGATGTCACCATCAAATCCACTATTTGTTTGTATTTGAGACCCACTGACAAAATATACTCAAAATATTTCATAATAAAGGAAAATATATAAAAACATATTTTAATATGCTAAATGTGATTTACTTAGTTGAATAGTACTTTTTGCTGATAATCATTGACTGAAGTTTAACATTAAAGAAGGCGATGGTTTTATTTCCTGACTGGGCGAATGGCAAGCCTACCATTTTTGACACCTCCAAAGTATTGCTCAGTTTGCACAGCATGAGCCATCATTTCAGGGAATGGCAATCTGATAAAGTTATTTGACAAACAAACATCACTGCTATAAATTATTATTGCTTTTGTAATAATTAGTTAATTAAAGGCAATGTTTTCATGTCTTTTCCATCAGGTTTTGTTGCTCGGGACGATGAGAGGTGCACGTTTGCTATACTTGACCCTTCTCGTCAGCATTGTAAGTGTGTGTGCGAGTAGGATTTTAACTTGATGACCTTGTAGTCTCCTTACAATCTTTTATTCTGTCCATAAATGAGTAACTGTGCTGAAGTCCATTTTTCCCGTGCACA